AAAGCAACTTTTTTTGTGGGAAGACAAGATAGGATTTGGCAAATAAGAGGTTCTGGTAGAGTGCTGATTATATCTTTGGAACCAAAATGCAAACTCGTTGGGCACATACGAGGTAGTTAAACCTTAAAAAAAACATATATTGAAGAATAGAAACCTAACACTACAAGATGAGAATCTAGACAAGGTTTCAAGGGACTAATGACACACATAAAGAAAACTAAGAGAATGGACAATCTATATTATACACATTGTAGCCGGTTCATTCATCAATTTATAAACAGCTTCCATCAAAAGTCATGATTATAAAAAGATCATAATCGATATCTTATCGTGTGGCGATATCGTCTTTCTCAATTGTGAAATCCCATACATCACCATACTTGTCATTAAAGTCCCAGATGCTCATTGTGTTGTAGTCACTAATGAGCTTATCGCGAGCTCCTCTCTCCAATTTGTATATCTGAGGCTCAAAGTTGTGTGGCTGGTCTGGAACTGAACACTACCGTGAATAACGCTGCACCTATGAACAAGTACTCACCCTGCAACACACACAAACAAACACTTGTGATTCTTTTTCTCATACTTAACTAATTATCCAATCTCTAGTACATTTTCCATAAAAACAGAATTTGTAAACAAAAGATTTGAAGTTACCGGAGCATCAAAATACATCCCTGCAGCTATAGCAGGAAGAAACAGGCAAGAGATTAAACCTGCAGACATAAAAAAAAACCGCGAGTTTGCGATCCATAAGAAACACTAAAAACGGGTTAAATGAATACCTTGAAACCCATTTGTTTGATCCACAGCAGCAATGTCATCAGCAATTGCTCCCCAAAATGTTCCTAACAAACATTTCCAAGAAGATTCAATCAGACAAATGGTTCGAAATCAAAATCGAAACAACAACAACAAGAAGAACAAATTGGACAACCAAAAGTTTACCCTTTTGAACTTCTCCTTCATAGTAAGTATGAGCTCCATCGTAATATCCATACTTGAAATCTTCCTATTAACAATCACTAACCAATCAGAAACAACTTTCAGCAGAATTATGAATTTCAAACCAATCGAATCTTACCATTTCAATGCTATTAATCTCAAATTGACCAATGGGGTCTTCGTTGATGTCTGGTTCAATCTGTGACAATCCAGCAGCTGAGACCAGCTTAGCTAACCTCAATCTCCGGCCGGAATTGCCGCATTTCACGACATTGACGGTCTGATCAGGAACCTTAACTCCAAACTTCGAATCTATGATCTTTGGGAGCGATTTGGGAGAGAGAATCGTGACCGTTGCCATTTTTTTCATCACTTTATCTTCTCTCTGTTTCTTGCTCTGTCTCAGAGTTTTGGAGCCATAGAAAAAAAAAACGGTTTTTTTTTTTTTTTGTGTTCGTTATCGAAAGAGATTAGTATTAATTGGTTACTGTCTGTCGTATTTACCAAAGTGACCGACAAGTTTGTAACCGACACGTGTAACGTAATCATTTGATTGTCTTCTCTCGTTGGTTCGTGAACGCTTCCACGTGTACAATTATCTTGAAATCATTGAAACGGCCCAACTTTGTCTTTTTTTTTTTTTTTTTTTTTTTTTTTTTTTTTTTTATGCAAACTGAATATATTGATTAACTTGAATCGTTACAAAGAAGGTTTCTGAGCCACAAAGGCTGATTCACCGAGTCAGAATAGAACTCTGTGTTTTTTTTTTTTTTTTGAATGCAATGTTAAATTAAATTCAAAAAGAAAATAACGTTTTTACATCAAGTGCCACTTTTGGTTGAAAGAAGAAAATCAAACTTGTTTAAGCATGTAAATTGATATGGTTACAAGCAATAAAAGTGTTGTTACAAGCAATAAAAGTGAAAAATTGGGCTATGCTATTACAATGACGTCTTACAAAGGTAAATAAAACCGAAGAAAATCTGGATGACCAAAGATCAATATCAAGTAAAAGGTTTGCAATTTCGCTATGTGGTGAAAGACATGTGATCGCCTTAATAAGAATCTCACAATCCCCTTCGAAGTGAATCTTCTTGTAACCTCTAATCCAAGCTTGCCGCATAGCCACTAACAGTGCCTTTGTTTCTGCCTCTAACGGAGAAGAAATGTGAGCCAGCATTGACAAACCCCATGCTTTAGCCTCCCCTTGGTGATCTCGAATTATCCAACCCGCTGTTCCCCGAGAAGAATTGATATCAACACCTGGATCAAAGTTGCATTTAACAAAGGAAATAGGTGGTTTTGTCCAAGATTGTAGACGTTATAGATTACATGTTTTGGTGAATTGAATGGCAGAATTTGGACGTATGAGGTACATGTTCTGGTTTCTAAGTTTCAGGTTTGGTTTGAGAAAATTGAAGGTCTTCGTTTTGCAGACTTGATGATGATTCATGTTTTCAGATGAAAATTTGATTTGCCTAAGATGCTTTTAACAACTGCTAAGAAACAGAATGAAGAACTCGAGAGAATTGCTACAACAATTCCCAAATCGTGTTGCATATCCAGCCTTGCGTATTTTGTATCATACTTTAGAAAGCATTTTCATTTCATAAATCAGTTAGTATTGGTTTGTACCGATTGACATCTCTTTTTTTTTTGTCATAAGAAGATTCCATTAAAACTTAAGGAACATTGTTGTTTTCAATGGCTTGAAGAGCACATGTGGCCACAGAATCAGCCTTGCCATTAGCTAATCTAGGAATAAAAGAAAACAGAGAGAGTTTAAAAGAGGAACAAATCGCCCTGATATCACCAAGGATGGAATGAATATCGGTATGGATGTCTTCGGAGTTTAAGAGCTTCACAAGCACTTGGCAGTCCGAAAAGATGTGAATAGCTTCAAAACCACAGGTCTGAGCTTGATGAAGAGCCAACAACACTGCCCATGCTTCAGCTTCCAAGGCTGAGGAGACATGGGTGCGGGTAGTGGTTGAATACTGACAAGAGTCAGAAACTGTATAGGGATCCGTAGAAGCACCGATTGACATCTCTATTTGTACATTTATCGTATACATTCAAGCTATTACGTACATGAGAGAACCCTTATTGTCATATGAAAGAAAATCATATTTTCTTATGTTAAAAAACAAGTTACACCTTATTTATCAAAATACAAAAACAATCATATATTTTTATTAAAAATTATAGTACAATGTCAAAATCAAATGTATAATTGTTACTTATGATATAGACTAAATCTATATAATATAACAGTCCGAATAAATGTCATTGCAGTTTTGAACAGTTGTGTCTTTTTATCACAACCTATCAGAATTTTGCTTCTACAAGATTTCACAACATTCATATTTGTAAATCAGAGTTTGTCATAGAAACCATGTCTGTAGAAAAAAGTGGCATCACCATTCATCGTACCTGATTCCTTTCATAACTAGACACGCCAGAAGTTGCTCTACCAGAAGCACTAGAAGCAGCCTCCCTAAGAAATATAGTCAGAAATTTTCTTTATTAGTAAGTTTCAATTAAAAGTATTAACGTCTAAAAGAAAGTATTCTACATTTAACTACTTTGCGCTTTTATCGGTCAATTCATCATCTGCATCTGCTTCATCGCTTGAACTCCCTTTATCAAAGAAATCATCATCACTAAGGTCCAGATCCAGAAGACCATCGTCTTCACTCCGTGTCTCTGTTTGTCGACAACCATAACATAAATTATCAATTATTAGCTATGATACTTCATAGTTCAGAAATAAGCATCTCTAAATATCATGTGTTTACCTTCTAACTCTTTCCCACTAGCAGCAGCAACAATAATATTGGCTTTGATCTGCTTCCGCATTTTACCTCTCTTCTCAATTACCTCTGAATCCTCAGCTCCAGTAAAAAGAGATACATACTCTCGTTTTTCGGGAAGAACTGCAATTGTACATTTAAGAAGAACATACATTCTCTTAACTAAGCTCATTCTAAATCACATAACTAACAAGCAGAAGGATGAGAAATAGTAAAACGAGAACGCAGTGTATTGAAGTTAACTTACCCTAACATATTCAAGGTCTTCTTTGAGTTTACTAAGTTGCTCAGCTATATCTGTATCTCCCACATGAGCAGATGAAGTACGTTGTAACTTCTCAAGACGTCTAATGCTTCTTTCGATCTTTCTCCGCTCTATTCAAGAAAAAAAGCTCTAACTTATCATTACTAACTAAATCATGACTAAATACTAGAAAACTAGGTAAAAGCTCTTCTTACCAAAGAACTTAATCTTTCTGTTCCTAAGGAATATTTTACGTTCAACAGCAAGACGGGTATGAGCGTCTTGCTGCTTCTTCAAATCTTCCAACTTCTCTACTAAAGACTCTCTTACTTCAGGAGGCAAATCCTACAGAGTATCAAAAATACATCAACATTCAAAATTCTCAAATGGGTTTGGTTCTAATTGACCATAGATAATCAAATTCTCTACAAGAACACAACCTAGGAATAACATTGTAAACCCTTAAGCTCTACACCACACAAGCTAACTAAATCGCCAGAAAGGCTGGAACTTTAAGAGAGATTCTATCAAAGGAACCCTAATTTCAGAGAGAGAAAAGGAGCTGACTTTACGAAGAAAGCGTTCAACGGAACGCATCTGATTCTTGATGGAGACAGTCTTAGGTTTCTTCTCTACACGCAATACTTTCGACCTCCGACTACTTCCCGCCGCCTGATTAGGTTCCGAAACTCTTCTCTTGGCATAACCTCCGTGCGCCATGACTAAAGGATTTTGCCAAAGCTTTTGAAGTAGTTGAAGAAGGAGGAAGAGTTGAGACTTGAGAGAGCAACAGACAAAAATTAGGGGTTGTGTTTTTTTTTTTTTTCGGCGTTAGAACGCAGCGTATTAGGGGATACACAACTAGGTTGAACCGGATTATTTTCCGGTTTTAACCGGTTTGTCGGATTGTGCTCTTCGTATTTTATGGCTTAGTAAATTTTGTGGATATCAAACTTCTGACTTTTCTTCAAGCTACCACTACTTTTAATAAACTGGTTAATCTCATTTAAACAATTATTGGTGACTGTTTCAGTTTCTCAATAAACTAATAGACATTGCTCTCTTGACTTATAATTTCTTGATACAGTCAGTACAGGAATGCACGATTGTATTCCTCTTTCTCTCCAGCATTCATCATTTTCTCTTGTGTTGTTTCTTGCATCGCCTTGGCAGTAATCAACACAAGAGAAATGGCGGACTTGCTTCTACTAATACCCTGGAATAAAATCTTCACTTTTGCATGTGGCTGCTTTTTAAGCGATAGAAACTACATTCACTTGATGGAGTCAAATCTCGATGCTCTGGAGACAACTATGGAAGAACTTAAGAATAGACGAGATGATCTGTTAGGAAGAGTTTCCGTAGAAGAAGATAAAGGTTTGCAACGGCTTGCTCAGGTCAACGGATGGCTTTCAAGGGTAGAAATTGTTGAATCCCAATTCAATGATCTGCTTGAGGCTAGATCAACTGAAACTGGAAGATTGTGTTTGTTTGGATATTGCTCCGAGGATTGCATATCAAGCTACAATTATGGTGAAAAGGTATCGAAGATGTTGGAAGAAGTTGAAGAACTTCTATCTAAAAAAGATTTTGTAGAGGTGGCGCAGAAAATTATACGTAAGGCGGAGAAGAAGCATATCCAAACCACAGTGGGTTTGGATACATTGGTTGAAATGGCATGGGAAAGCGTCATGAACGATGAAATAAGAACCTTGGGTCTTTATGGTATGGGGGGAGTAGGAAAAACCACCCTCTTAGCTTGTATCAACAACAAATTTGTTGAATTGGAGAGTGAATTTGATGTTGTGATATGGGTTGTGGTATCTAACGACTTTCAGTATGAGGGCATTCAAGATCAGATTCTGGGAAGATTACGTCTTGACAAGGAATGGAAACAAGAAACAGAAAAGGAGAAAGCTTTGTGCATAGACAATATCCTTAATAGAAAGAAATTTGTGTTGTTGTTGGATGATCTCTGGAGCGAAATGGATCTGAACAAGATAGGAGTTCCACCTCCAACTCGAGCAAATGGATCGAAGATTGTTTTCACCACTCGTTCGAAGGAAGTTTGCAAGGACATGAAAGCTGACAAGCAGATAGAAGTTGATTGTTTGTCACCAGATAAAGCATGGGAATTGTTTCGAATTACGGTTGGAGATGTCATATTCAGCGGCCATCAGGATATTCCCGCACTTGCAAGAAGAGTTGCTGCAAAATGTCATGGCTTGCCACTTGCACTTAATGTCATTGGCAAAGCCATGGCATGTAAAGAGACTTTACAAGAATGGTATCTTGCGATTAATGTTCTGAATTCGCTTGGCCACGAGTTTCCAGGTATGAAAGAAAGAATTCTTGGCGTTTTGAAGTTCAGTTATGATAGCTTGAAGAATGGTGAAATCAAATCGTGCTTCCTATATTGTTCTTTGTTTCCTGAAGATTTTGAAATAAAGAAGGAGCAGTTGATAGAATACTGGATTTGCGAAGGCTTTATAAATCCGAACAGATATGAAGATGGAGGTACCTACCAAGGTTATGATATAATTGGCTTGTTAGTTCGTGCTCATTTGTTGATTGATTGTGGGGTCGGAGTTAAAATGCATGATGTGATACGTGAGATGGCTCTTTGGATAAATTCTGACTACGGAAATCAACAAGGAACAATTTGTGTGAAATCTGGTGCTCATGTACGTCTGATACCGAATGACATCAATTGGGAGATTGTGAGACAGATGTCTTTAATTAGTAATCAGATTGAGAAGATATCTTGCAGTCCCAACTGCCCCAACCTTTCAACCCTATTACTTCCATATAACGAGTTGGTGGATATTTCAGTTGGATTCTTTCGGTTTATACCAAAACTTGTGGTCTTGGATCATGTACATGAGATCAGTCTTGTTGGGATAGCAACAACCTTACCAAATCTGCAAGTGTTGAAATTATTTTTTTCCCGTGTTTGTGTTGATGACATATTAATGGAGGAACTACAGCAGTTGGAGCACTTGAAGATTTTAACGGCAAACATAGAGGATGCCACGATTTTGGAAAGGATACAAGGAATTGACCGATTGGCGAGTTGTATTCGAGGTTTATGTCTACTAGGAATGTCAGCACCTCGTGTAATATTAAGCACGATAGCTCTGGGAGGTCTTCAACGCCTTGCAATTGAGAGTTGCAACATATCTGAGATAAAGATAGATTGGGAAAGCAAAGAAAGAAGGGAGCTTTCACCAATGGAGATTCATCCAGGCTTCAAGCAACTCTCCACTGTTAATATATTCCGTTTGAAAGGGCAAAGGGATTTGTCATGGCTGTTATTTGCTCAAAATCTGAAGGAACTAGATGTGAGAGATTCACCAGAAATAGAAGAAATAATAAATAAGGAGAAAGGAATGAGTATTACCAAAGTGCATCCAGATATTGTTCTTCCCTTTGGGAACCTGGAATCCCTTGAGCTATATAATTTGGATGAACTTAAGGAAATCTGCTGGAATTTTCGGACTCTTCCTAACCTTAGAAACTTCAAAGTCAAAAATTGTCCAAAGTCAAAGTCAAGATTTTCTCAAGCTTATAGAGTAATACGGGTGGAAGGGTGATGACAAGTGGTCAATTGCTAAAGTGAAGAAATCGAATTAGAGTACCAATTGTTTCCTTTGTTTCTTATTGTTTCCTTTGTTTCTTTGTTTGATTTGCTTCTGCTTCCAGAAAAGGAGGTACACAAGAGACTCCTTCAAGTTTCTTTCATCTTTCACGTTTCTTTTGCTTCCTTGTGTGTAGGAACCTGTAGTTCCAAGACTGTTTCCTAAAATATAAATGAAAAAGCCAAAAAAAAAAGGCAGAGAAATTTGCCTGAAGAATTTTTGTTCTTGTGTTTTTTATTCATGATTTGATTGGGACCGTATCATCGGGGATTAATAATGGCAGAAAGATGTTTCTACGCAAAGGAATGGTCTCTCTCATGTACAGGTTTGGAATAAAGCCATTACATAACTGGTCTCTACTGTATAAACTTTGCTACCACTTTGTGTAACTGCACTGTATCCTCTCAGTTCTTAATTTGGTTTTGTATTTATATATACTGTTTTTGTTTCAATGACCTCTTGTTATCTAGTTACATTTCTCAATGTTTAAAAACTTTCCCCTCTTCAAAGATTTGTTGTCTCCTAAGTAACGAACCAGAGTTTGTCAAGGAGAGCATAGATAGCGTTTATGTTTCTGGATTGAGCTAGTTTTAGATCCATGTACCAGATTGTTCTTAGAAGTTAGAACGTTCATTGATTTCTAAGTGAGCCCACCACAAACAATTCAATTTGAAGTTTTGGCAATATCGTTACCTTTTTGAAAAAATACTCTTTTCCAAACATCACTGATGATGAATAAAAGTCATTACAAAGACTGATTTTTATAAATATATAAATGAAAAAGCCAAAAAAAAAAAAGGCAGAGAAATTTGCCTGAAGAATTTTTGTTCTTGTGTTTTTTATTCATGCTTTGATTGGGACCTTATTGAAGATGCAGCTTCTGAAGGAGTACCTGAACTAAGTCAAGAAGTAACTCAAGAGAACAGAGCAACATGAACAAGATTAAGGAAATATGCAGAATCTTGTTATGGCGGTTTGAAGTGAAGACTAGAAGCTTAGAGAAGATTCTAGAAGACTGAAGAGTTTCCTTTTGCAAGAAGAAAAGAAAAACATGAAGACAAAAGACAATTTCCTATTCCATAAAGAAAAAGGAAATTGTCCATTCCAATTAGTTTTAGAATTGGAAATCGACCTGTTGTATGGTCTCAACCTATTTAGTATAAATAGGGTGCTAAGGCTTGTAGAAAGCTCAGCACAATCACGAGAGAGAATTCTTAGCTATTAAGTCTTAGTTTGAGAGAAATAGAGAACTAGAGGCTTAAAGTGAGCTAAGGGTATTAAGGAGAGTTATTGTTCTTAATCGGTCTGTGATTAAGGAACAAGACTTAGAGAGAATAGAAAATAGTGTTAAAGGAGAAACCTTGTAAACATATTTTCTATTAATCGAAAGAGTTTTTTGAGAAATTCTGAGTTACATCGTGAACTAATTCAAAACTTAGTAGCTCTTGCATTTACAATTGGTATCAGAGCGGTCGCTTGTGAAGATTACATACAGGTGAGGTCTTGTGGAAAAGATGGAGAGCTATCAAGAACTGCTTAAAAACGCGAAGGTTGTTCTAGACGATTGTAACTATGGTTTTTGGAAGTCAAGGATCAAATCTGTGATAAGAGGGATAGATGTGTTAGCTTGGAAAGCTGTCCTGGAAGAATGGAAAGAACCACAAATTAAGAATGAAGATGGAAGCTTCACAGCCAAACCCGAGTCAGACTGGACTGAAGATGAGAAGAAAAAGTCTAAATTCAATGCTAGAGCTCTCACAGCTATTCACTGCAGTGTTGGGAGGAAACAATTTGACTTAATTCAGGGCTGTGAAACTGCTAAGGAAGCTTGGGATATTCTGCAAACACACTATGAGGGAACGATTAAGGTTCAGACTTCAAGAAAAGATTTGATAGCTTCAAGATTCGAGAATCTGAAGATGGATGAGCAAGATTCAATCACCGATTTCAGCTCTAAACTAAGTTCATTGGCGCAAGAAGCTTTAACTCTTGGGAAGAAGTATAAAGACAAGAAGTTGGTTAAGAAATTTTTAAGATGTCTACCTCCGAGATTTATGGCGTATAAAACAGCTCTAACAGTTTCGAATAATACTGATACTCTCAGTTTTGCTGAAGTTGTAGGGATGCTTCAGGCTCATGAGCTTGAATTAGGAGGAACTAAGAAACCAAAAGGGTTGGCGTTGACATCTTGTGAAAGCAAATCTCAAACAGAAGAAGAAGATTCTTTGAGTTTGTTAGTTCGAAGGTTTGATCGATTGTTAAAAAGAGCAGAACAAGGACAAGGACAGAAGAAGTTTGGATCATTCAAAAAGAATTCTGACGATACCAAACCATCAAAGAAAGCTGACATGCAATGTCATGAATGTAAAGGGTATGGACACTTTATTCGTGAATGTCCAACAGTCAAGAAACGAGAAACTAAATGCACAACATGCAAAGGAATGGGACATGCTCAAGATGACTGTATCAGTAGTAGAAAAGAGAAATCAATGATTGGTATTGAAGAAGAATCTGAGGAAGAGAGTGAAGAAGAAGACATCTTAAATTATGTAGCATTGATAGGCATTACTGAGTTTGTTGAAGGTTAAGAAGAAACTGACTCTGAATCAGATGGAGAACAACAAGTGAATTTTGTTGAAAGTTACAAAGAGGTGAGAGAAACTTTGATTAAACTTGGAACAGAAAATCAAGATTTACTGAAAGAAAAGATACGTCTCGAATCACTTGTTGAACTATTACAGAATCAACTAGAAGATGAAAAGAAGATTAGCAAAGAAAGTTTGAGTTTGATGAAAGAAAAACTAAGCTTGTCTGCTAAAGCTGATAATTTGGAGAAAGAACTGATCGCTGAAAGGAAGATATCTGCAGGACTACAAACAGAACTTAATCAACAACATCGGAAGATTCACATGTTTGCTGGAACAAAACAACTAGATCAGATTCTAAGCTATGGAAGGACAGAAAAAACAAACAGAGGACTAGAGTACACTGGTCATGGTGAAACAAGCACAGGTCAAACCAAGTTTGTGTCTGGAGGAATATCTCATCATGCACAAGATGAATCAAGAAAAAGTGTTTTAAAAGGCATCGGATGCTATTTCTGTGGAAAGATTGGGCACATAAAGATTCATTGTTACAAGTACTGGGAGAAAGTGGGAAAACTCAGGTATCAAAGGAAGTTTACATGGAATGGGTATAAACATCAAATCTGGGTAAAGAAAATTGATCTATATCCAACACTAGTCAGAAGAACTGCAGAAAGAGATACAGGAAGAAGAGCAGGACTTGGTTTTAGATGCTACATGGCGTTAGTCACAGAGGAATGCGAGAAAAAGAGTCCTTGGTACTTTGATAGTGGGTGTTCTCGCCACATGACAGGCACAAAAGATTACTTACAAGACATCAAGAAAATCAAAGGAGGTAAAGTAACTTTTGGTGATGGAGGTCATGGAGATATACAAGGTAAAGGAAAAACTAGTGATGTAGAGCTACCTCAGCTGATGAATGTCTATCTTGTTCGTGGATTAAAGGCTAATCTTATTAGTGTGAGTCAGTTGTGTGACGAAGGTCTAGAAGTTACTTTCACTAAAGAAGATTGCAAAGCGTTTGATGAAACCGGTGACATTGTTCTAGGAGGTAAGAGAACAGGAAACAATTGTTACATGTGGGAAAATCGTACAACCAACTGTTTTTCTGCACGAGACAACCTTAATCTATGGCATCAACGTCTAGGTCACATGAATACAAGAAATCTGACTACTTTGGTTGACAAAGAAATTATCCGAGGAGTTCCTAAGCTTAAAGATGAAGATAAGATGATGTGTGGACCATGTAATCAAGGGAAACAAGTCAAAGTGCAGCACAAGAAAGTTCCAGATGTTCAGACTAAGTCAGCACTTGATTTGGTACATATGGATTTAATGGGGCCAATGCCAATTGAAAGCATAGCTGGGAAGAAGTATGTGTTTGTATTGGTAGACGATTTTTCTAGATATACGTGGGTGAGATTCATTCGAGAGAAGTCAGAAACAGCAGATAGTTTCAGAATATGGGCTCTTCAGCTTATCAATGAGAGAGGAGGTATTAAAAGAATAAGAAGTGATCATGGTGGAGAATTTCAAAATGAGTCCATGAAAGATTTTTGTGAAAAGCATGGAATTGCTCATCAGTTTTCAGCTCCAAGAACACCTCAACAAAATGGGGTTGTAGAAAGGAAGAATAGAACTCTTCAAGAGATGGCTAGAGCAATGATGCATGGAATTCAGGTTCCACAGAGGTTTTGGGCAGAAGCAATAAACACATCATGCTATATCGTCAATAGGGTCTATGTGAGAAGAGATTCGATGAAGACTCCATATGAGTTATGGAAAGGAAAGACTCCGAATCTGAGCTACTTTCACGTGTTTGGATGCAGATGCTATATACTAAATGACAAAGACTACCTTGGAAAATTTGATTCCAGAAGTGATGAAGGCATGTTTCTGGGTTACTCAGAGACTAGTACAGCATTCAGAATCTACAACAAAAGAACGTGTGCTATTATGGAATCAGTTAATGTTGTATTTGATGATCATTATGTGTCAAAGGTTAGTGAAGAACTTGAAGAAAGTGACACAGAACCGGATGAGACAACCAATAAAGAAGTTAAAGAAAAAGTGGATGATTCATCGGTAGAACAAGAAGATAGTCACAAAGAAGCTCAGAAAATTCAGGTACACAAAAATCATTCATCATCAGACATCATTGGAGATCTCCAAGATCCGATTAAAACCAGAGGTGTAAAGCTTGATTTCAAGAAGATGACAAGTAATTTTGCAGAATGGGAAACTTTGCAGTTTCAATGCTTTGTTTCATCCGTTGAACCAAAGAATCATGTTGAAGCACTTGAAGATAATTTCTGGATCATTGCTATGCAGGAAGAGCTAGAACAGTTCGAAAGAAATGAAGTTTGACAATTGGTTAAACGACCTGCGGATACAAATATTATAGGAACCAAATGGATTTTTAAGAACAAGAGTGATGAAAAAGGAGTAGTTGTCAGAAATAAAGCAAGATTGGTAGCACAAGGGTATAATCAAATCGAAGGTGTTGACTTTGAAGAAACATTTGCACCTGTAGCAAGACTTGAATCAATCAGACTTTTCTTGGGAATGGCTTGTATTCTTAACTTCACGGTTCATCAAATGGATGTTAAAAGTGCTTTTCTAAATGGTATA